AGAGGTCGGGTTTCTAGAAGCCATCTTCTGATTCCTTACTTATGTGCCCCCATAGGATGATTGTCTAGATAGACATTAGCTAGTGGATCCACCTAAGCTAGAAGTTATGGTCCTTACCTTAGAAAGTAGGAAAAACCTTTTCGGTGTGGGAGACACCGAGGGATCATGTTATAGCTCACATGATCTCTATGTCGGTTAAGGCTAATTCCCCACATTAATAATGAACTAAGGTTACTTCAAGAAGTATCTCATATGTGTTCAAAGGTTTCAAATGATGTTACCTTGCATTGACCATGCTTTATGATTTATGTTTTCTAACCCTTTTATATCATGTTTTAGCTTGGTCAATTCCATGTCATAAAATTTCCCCTTTTAGCATGATTTAAATGTTTCGTGCATAGCTATCATACTTGGTACATAGTTTTGTACTAACACATACTCTTGCCTACATTTCCCCAAATGTAGGGTCCGATAGTTAGGTTTCTCAATTTCGTGGCTAGTGGTTGATTTCGAGGTTCCCGAGCTTTGGTGAGTCCTCGTGCTTTGAGGACGGACTTTAATTATTCTTAGTTCTTTCTTGTATTTCCAGTTTTTCGACATGATGTATAGGCTAGGCCAAATTTAATTCGATTGTAATAGATGGCTATTGAGACAGTGTTTTAGACTTCCGCTTTTCTTTTACAAAACTATTGAACCTGAACTATTTTTTACTCTTATTGTTATATTTCTTATGTTATGAATGCTAAGTGGCTTGTATGGGGTCTCTCGGGTCCTATACGCCATGTTAAATCTAGGGGGTACCTCTGGGTCGTGACAAAGATGACGTTCCGAAGAAGGCTTTTCGAACTCGATAATGTCATTACCATTATGAGTTTTTGGTAATGTTGTTTTGCATGACTAATGCTCTGGTGGCATTTATGGATTTGATGAATAGGGTGTTTAGACAATACCTTGACATGTTTGTCATTGTATTCATCGATGATATATTGATCTATTCAAAAAGTGAGGGTGGATGATATCACGTATCAGGACACTTCATTCAATACTAAGTGCCAACGATCGTTAGTCAGTAATATAACCCAACTAAGTGAGTTGTGGTCGAATTCCACCGAGAGTGGTACGTATTTGAGATTCAATAGAAAAGCATGAATACGTTCAAGTCAATCATAGGTAAAAACATTTACAAATAAAAGCATTGTTCAAGTTTGGGGTGACACAAGTGTCAAATAACAAGGGGGTTTGGTTTCAACTATCAACTACAACAACAAATAACACGAAAATAGCAAGTATAGAGACGGGTTCTTGGGATGTGATTGAATTATGGGCTAAGGTAGAAAAATGGGTGATTGTAATCAATAGTGAATAGGTGTAAATCCGTGAATAAGCTAGACTTTAGTAGGGATAAACTTTCTCTGAATAATTTACCCCGAATCAAATTGGTTTCTCTTAAACACCAATAAGCAGCAATTAAAAACAGCCTACGATTTAGTCCATTCACTCTCTCGAGCTGAATGTGTGGAATAGGGTTTAGGATTCACTCTCTCGAGCTGAACCCATGACAACCCAATACCTACAGACCATTAAGTCAGTAATCTTGGTTTTAAAACCTCTCTCTCGAGCAAGTCAAAAACACGAATGTAGAGTTGCATTTGCAACAACAACCCTTTAGATTAAGCCACAATTACTGAATGAAATCACTTTTAAACAACATTTACATTATCAATTAACAATACCCAGCAATTAAATCAACCCATAATCATAAAAAGATAAAATCGTTACCAAATTGTGTTTCCATCAATTGGGTAAGATTAATTTCATCTTTACAAAGGTCTAAGATGAAGAATCTTCAACACCCACTTCCAATTTCTCAGAAATGGAAATCTTCAAATCTTCAAAGCTAAGAAAATCTTGTCTCCAAACTCAGTTCTAAGCTCTCTACTTGAAAACTGAACAATTATGAAAATTAGACAAAAATCTGATTCAATGCTAGATACTAAACTAAGAATTTAAAAATGTATTTATAGTCGCCAAAAATGTGCTGCGAAGGACCATTCGGCGCAATAAGTCGGGATCGCCGATCCACCCTTTGGTCAATTCCATCGCCTTTTTGCTTTGGCCTTCAACATCTTCAAGTTCTGTAACTTTGGGTGATATAGTACTGCATCGTGGAACAGTTCGGCGACTCGCCGACTGCTCCTTTTTATCGCCGACTTGATTTTTTCCATCAGGGCTTGGCACACTGGAACATTAGGCGAGACCATGGCCATTCGGCGATAATTGAGCATAAACCTCTATTATGGTGACAATTTTGGACCACATAGCCTCTTTGAATTCTCTATTTGGCACCCTCATATCTCCTGAGTTGCTAATAACGAAAGTGTAGGCTAAAAGCCTATGTGTGGGGGAGGAGAAAATAAAGAAATTATGATGCATGCAAAAGCCTATGTTTCGGGGATCTGTGCACTAATAAAAGAGAAAATAATGAGCAGAAAAATATTCAGAGAACCATAAAATTCAAGTAAAAACCTTTTAGTATACTCATTGATCAAAGGATGGAAAGAAGAAAAAGAAAATGTTGATGCCATTGTCTTGAGATTCTTTACAATTTTTCTTGAATGGATTATTATCATAAATTTATGCTTGAGAGATTGGTTTTGAATGAAAAAGATTTTAAAAAGAAAAACATTGTCTTTTTTATGGTGGAATCAATTATGAGTTGTTATTCTATGTAGAGTGTTTTGTTTTGAGTCTTTTTTTATTTTATTTTTATTTTTATGTTTTTAAGTCTCAATGTGTAACTATGTATATTCTATTTTGTGTGTGGTTGGGTTTCAATCATATGTTAATGTTTTTCTTGTGGATAAGCAAAAGTTCAGGCTTAGGGGTTTGTTGAGTTGGCATTTCACCATCTTACTAGACGCATATTGATGTATTATTGCTATGTTTTAAAGCTAATTGAGAGAATTTAAGATAACTACCCATAATATTGAAATGTTAAAATAACAAGTTTATTTTCGACAAATCGATTTTTCATAAATCACATCAACACTCATTGAGATGTTGGGATAATAATGATAATTGGATGGTCATACATATAAATAAATCTATTGTTGGGATATATACTATTAATCATATGTTTAAATATAGCATTTATTATAGAATAATTAATTATTCAGTTTTAATAAATCATTTATTTGCTTATGGTGTCTGTTTATTTATATAGTAGATGATTTAGTGTATATAGTTTTAGCTTATGCAGAGAGGATTAAATCATCGGTTCTTATAAGCATAAAGTTTTTTGTTCAAAATCTAGGATGGGAATTGGACAAGCCATCGGTACGATTGTAGCACAACATTATATTTAATTTTTCTTGATTACGGAAATGGTATAGTTCAAACTTTTTGTGCTAGTGCATTTGTATGTATTGAACGAGACCGAGTAGAGATAGTTGCTTTAGACTGACAGACAAAAACGTATTCTCTAAATTATCAAATGTACTTACATTCTTAATCCTGATAAACCATTATGATTTGTATATATTAATTATTGTTTTGATTTATTAAAAGCTCAGATTTTGAGATGGGTCAATATACCTTATAGATTAGATGATAAATAATATTTATTGGTGAAATAATAAGTTAGTTGATGGTATCCATGTCTTGATAGAGATTGAAGCTATGCCTTTTTGAGAAGCTTATAAGTTTTCATGGTCTCAAACATTGCAAGTGGATTTATAAATCCGACACATGAAATAAGTTAAGTAGTACTCTAAAGGAAATTAATCATTGAAAGAACTTCGCCAATAATTTAATTTATTGATTAGTATTTGTAATCTTAACATGGGGGATTACATAAGTGTTTAATGAGGAATTTCGAAATGTAAATAGAGGAGTGCAATTACGAATTTCTAGTGGAATGATTTTAAATTATTATGGTAAGAATAATTCAAATTGATTAGTTGGAATTATTTCAATAATAGGAAGCCTCAGTAATAAATTTTATGGTCCCTATATTGCCCATATTTAACTAGACTAGAACTCAAAATCCTCATTCTAGGGAAAAAAGGAAAAAGAACGTGACTTTCTTGTTCTTGAAAATAACGTGTATTTTTCTTCTCGTTATTGGAGTGGAAAGAAATTTCTATAAGAAGGGTTTCTTCTAATCTAAAAGAAAAAGTTTTCTATATGATACTTGCTCATCCAAGTATTAAGAGAATTCATATATGATCTTGGGATCACTGTAGAAGACCGCAAAATTGATGTCCAACTTGTGAAGTCGCTTGAAGGTAGCTCAAGCTTCAAGAGGTCATTTTTTAATTACATTTAAGCAAGTTTATGTGTTCTAGCATGATTATATGTGTTTTAGCATAAACATTATTGATTTTCTATTATTCATGCAAACAATATGATTTTAATATGCTTATGTTGTGCATATAATTTTTCAACAATTGACATCAAGAGCCTTGCTTGCATCTAAATTGATAACACAGATGATATGTATGTTTGATTACATATAAGACTCATAATTACATTACGAATGTTTGATGCAATTTAGAGCATTAGTGTGGAGCCGCTATTTTTTTTTCCGAATCCACTGTTTAGTTTTTTTATAAGGAAAATATTAGATGGGCATAAATTATAATTTTCTTTGTAAGTGATGTCCGTCTTAAAACCAATTTCTAGGCTTCAAAATTCAAGAATTTTTTTTTAAAAAACTGTTTGATTACCAATATAAGTTGATCAATGAATCTTTCGTGGTTTGTAGCGGCAACTTCACAATTTTCAAAGTGGGTGTTATAATTTTAGTTTATGTGAAACTTGTTTGGAATCTGCTGGAGCGGGTTTTTATTATTCAACCCATTGTTCTTTAATATGCTTGCTAGTGTATATTAAAACTAGAAGGGCATAGCCCATGCTCAGCACGGGCCCAATATGTATGGTTTCGATTTTTTTTCATTGTAACAATACAACAGTACAAACAAACTAAACATAATGCCTACCTTGGTTAAAGTAACATTAGCAAAACAATTCTTGTGCTTGTTTACATCAATCATTCTTGTAGTGGCAATTCTAATTGAATGGAACAGAGAATTTCTTTACGTAGAAAGAAGTCTTAAGAGATATACAATTGAGTTGCCTATTATAGCCTATCTTATCCATAGTTCGGAAAGTTCAAGTTTGCAATATTTATACCATCCATAAGTCACCCTAGCTCTTCATATGATTATATGTCATGAGCACAATCCAACTCATTCTTATGAGAAGAATGATTCAAGTAAAATCTGCAAAAAGAAGATCAAGTCAATTACAAATGTCAGAAAAATGCACAAACGAAAAACCCAGTGAATTACCAAATATAAGCACGCACCGTCACATGTATGTCTTTTAAAAGAAAAAACTCTAGTTAAGTTATTACAATGTAATAAGATTGAAGTTGTTGATCCACAAAATAAAGAAAAAATAAGTAACATTACCTAACAAACATTGATTTCAGATTTGGTCCCAAAAACCGAAAATTATTTTAGCAGATTTATAGCAACATGGTAGTACTTCATATATCTTGAGATAGAAAATCTCTAACACTTCCGGTTCAATATTCCACGTATGACAATACCTCATGTTCATACATGAAGCAGAAATAAATTATTGATTTCCACCGAGTTTTTAATTTATCTACAATTGCTTTGTCGACTCTGTAAACTTTTCCCCATTGTTCCTTTCATTGGGTCAATGATTTTTTATAATTCAATTTGTTATGTTGCAGTTAAATTATAACTCCTTCCAACTTTTTCTTTATGCAAGCACAATTGTCTTATAAAGTGTAAAGCATTGTATTACTAACCATCATGGTCAAAGAACTATTATTTGTGATCAAGCTGATTTTGCGCGAACACAACTATGTAAGGATCTATGAAAGGCGTGAAAAATCTGTTAAAAGCAAGTGCTATAAATTATTAATACCAAATGCATGCTACAATAACATTTACATTCAATATCTATTCAAAGCAGCGCAAAAGATAATCACATTGAGAGCAACTTACTTGAAATGCTTTCCGAACCATTCCAACATTTCTTAATTAGCCTCGCCAGCTAATTTCACACCCATTAACATGTATCTCTCTTTACCAATTTTGAAAAGTAAAATTTGATGAGTATTGTAATGTCACAAGGTGGACACCATGTAAATACTCCCATTTTTCTACTCACCGAGACAAAGTAAATTGGTTCAAGTTGCACTTGTTTTCAGTACAAAAAAGAATTATAAAGAAGAAAAGATTTCAAGGACATAAGCAGATAACCCATTGAGAATTACATATTCTTCAGCAAAGAAGTGTTGCCTATCTCCATAGTACCTGAAAGCAAAAAAATGATAATCATGTTATAGATTGGCAGTAGTGCTGAAGCAGAATGCATTTTAAAATAGAAATTGTTTATCTACTCTATCCAAGGAAAGCTCATATCTTCTAATACTTTTGCAATTAAGCTTGCCGTCTTTAATTCGTTTTCTGCGAAGTAATCATTAACTGAGTTTCTCTCAGTGTCAATGCACTAAACGAAACAACTACTACATATATTGCAAAAAGTGAACTGTTGTCCACTCTAGAGCTTTAAAAGACACAAACCGAGCAAGTTTCCGCACTACCTAATCTAAGCAAAAATAGGGTAAATATAAAACTATATAGAACTCACTCTTATCAGCTAAATATTATGACGACAAAGCAGAACATTGAATGATCCATTTTTTCGAATTAAGAACATCGAATCAGGTGCTTTCAAATGGACATCAAAACATGCAAATATTGCTTGATATATAAACTGTGTGATATGATATAAATGCTCTAAATTACTCATATTTCGAAGTCATAGAGTCTCCAAAAAAAGAAGTCTTTTGCAGCTGAATTTGGAATCTTTTTGCACAGATTTCTCCTCTCATGTCATATAATCACATAGTACTTTTCTTATAAAGGACAAAGATTACTCCTTTTTCTTTTGTACCTTTAGTTTCTTGAGAAATTCACTTAGGCTTATTAGTTGTTAAAAAGGGTCTCATCAGTTGTATCTTTTTTACCAGCATATACTGTTATAGAATAGTGCCAATTTCAGTTGTATATGGTGGGTCAAACAGCACAATAATGCATATAAAGTTTTATTCTTGAAAATCTTCTTGTTGTGTTAAGCAAACATGAGTGTTCTGTGGTATTGATTTTCTTGAAAGTTTAAAGAAAGGTGTGAAAACTATTCTGTGTAATTAGTAAGGAGGTCAAGAAAGGGGAGCATGAGGGTAAAAGTAGTTGTGATGTTGCTGAGAAATTTATGGTGGCTATTAAGGCATCAAAAGAGGTACCTAAGAATGCTGTTGTGTGGGCTCTGACTCATGTTGTTCAACCTGGAGATTACATTACACTTCTTGTGGTTGTTCCTTCACAAAATTCTGGTACAACATTCATCTAACTTGTTTCCATTTCTGTCGGCATCTCATTGTGGTAGCACTAAAATGTTGTATTATATTCAAGTATATGTCAACTACATTTATAGAAAGCAAAAGGCCTACGAAAAGAGAACTTTTGATTGGTATCATGGATTTTATATAGAAATGGCTATTTGGTATTCTTACTTGCTTTGAGATTAGGTACTTATTAGAGTGCAACCGTTATGAAGAAATAAAAGAAGGTACTTAAGAGTGTTGCCTGATTGAAACAAAATTTCTCTGAATTGAACAGAAATCTTGGTTTATTGATTATTCTGCTCCTCTTTGTTGATTGACACCCTCATGTCATCTTATGGATGCTGAATATATTCATCGTGGATTTTTCCAACAGTCTGTTACTTGTAGCTGTTTTCAAGCTAAGCTGATCTTGGCTCTTGTAAGAATGGGAAAGATAGCCAGTCCTTCAAGGAGGATTTACTTCTCAAGCCACTGACTTCTAATTAGTCTATTGAAGCTATAGATAATATCTATGTTCAGAGTAGAGACCAAGAAGACATAAACCATAAACCAAGCTCACTTCTATCAGCTAAGTTTGAAGATGATATCTGGCTGATATATGAACTGTCACATAGTTGCTCTAAAATAATCAAATTTCAAAATTTCAAGGGTCAATGAAATCACAGTAACCCAGACGATGACATCAAGCTGTCCACGAATATAATATACAGATAAAAAACCTCAAAAAAAACTCATACTGCTCTAAAATAATCACATTTCAAAAATCACAGAGAGCCATAACACTACGTACAGTATCCTAGAAAAGATCAGTTTAAGCCATCCACGAAGACAATAAAGATAAAAAAAACCTTCAAATAGAAACTCCTTTGCGCTATAAAATAATCAAATATCAAAATTATAGAGAGCGACGGCACTATAGTATCCTAAAAGACCACGTTAAGCTATCCACGAAGACAACACATATAAACAACCCAAAAAAACACATGCTGCTCTATAATAATCAAATTACAAAACCACGAAGAGTGATGGCTATACAATATCCTAGACGATCAAGTTAAGCTATCCACAAATACAATAAAAATCCTCAGATTGCTCTAAATAATCAAATTGCAAAATCGCATAGATCGATGACACCACAGTACTCTAGAAGATCACATAAAGATATCTACGAAGACAATAAAAAAAATTAAGATTTTTCTAAAATAATCAAATTTCAAAATCACAAAAAGCGTTAAACTACAGTATCTAAGATGATGACGTTAAAAAATACACAGAGAATACAGAAAAATCTCTCTTGAGACTTACATCGGAAGAATTGCTTATGAGTTCACCGAGAAGACCTCCATGTAGTTGTAGAAAGTGTTGATAATAAGACTGAGAAGCTGATTAACCTCAGCCTGGAAAGCAAACGTCTCTCTGTCCGCCATTTTTTGGTAGATCTAAAGAGTTGTTGCTACTATGAAAAAAGAATCTCAGGCGAAGTGAAACATAGAGGGACTCGAAAGTAAGAGGGGGTTTACAGGCAGTTTTTAGTGACTTCATATTGAGAAAAACTTACTTGAAATGCTTTCTAAACCATCTCAACATGCCTTGTTATAGCCTCGTCAGCTAATTTTACACCCATTCACACGTAACTTTTTCTTTAACAATTCCCAAAAATAAATTTGATGAGTGACTGTGAAGTTACGAATCGGAGACCATGTAGTACTCCAATTTTCCTACTCCCAGAGATGAGAAAAGTCGGTTCAAATTGCACCTATTTACAAAACAAAAGAAAATTAGAAAGAAGAAGAGATTTCAAAGACACAAGCAGATAATCCATTGAGAATTACATATTCCTGAGAAATTATGAATTAGAATCCTACAAAACTTCATACTCCAAGCAAAGGAGTGTTTCCTATAAGGAGTGCTAACAACACCTCTGCAGAAATCTCAGTTGCACAGACACTTCACTTTCAATGCCACATTCGTGTTGAATTCTTCAAATATACACTACTTTTAGAGAATTTGACATGCAACCATTGATATTTTTGAAGAGTCCGAACAACACACGTGAAAACTGAATGAAAAGAATGAAAAGATAAGTCTCAGGAAAACGTACGGACTCACTCCTCTAGCACATCTAAAGATTAAAAGTAATCAAGTAGTTTGTCAAAGAGTAGAGCAAGATGCAGATCAATTTAGGAGCCAAACTATTTGAGTCATCAATAAATTTTGCCCAGGAAGCTTCAAACTAAAGTAGTTAAGAATGTAAATTCTAAACTTAAAAAGGCAGATAGCAGGAGAGTATAAGAAACATAAAAATCGTGTTCCCTTTCTAATTTTTGCATGTTTTCTGTAGTGGTAATTTACCAGTACTAAAAATCAAAAGAAAATAGATAATGTAATTTTGGAGTTTCATCTTGAAAACACCAAATGAGATAGGGTTGAGCTGTTTTTCTATGGAAAACTCAAAAGAGAGTCTTAGAATTTGCAAGATTTTGTGCCAAAAACTCTATGAATCTCTAAGAAATTAGCCATCTCCAGTTGGCTAAAGATTCTGCACATTGAGCAACCATTAATTTGAATGTAGTAATTGTTGAAATGGTACCTCTTTATATATAATCAACAAATTTGAAATTTGAAATTTTCAATTCATCATTTTCTTTTAAGTTAGCACATATCTATTGGGACAAAATTTCAACACCAAAAGAAAAAAAATAAAGATAAAGAAAAATCAAATCTGTGAAAACTGACGAGAGGGAGTTGCTCGGATGGTAAGCACCTCACTTCTAACCCGAATGTTGCGAATTTGAGTCACCATGGGAGCAAAAGGGATGGAAGCTGAGAAGATAAAAGAAAAAAAAACCCTGTAAAAACCAAGGAGAGACATCGCTGTTGCAGCCGAGAGAAACCCCAAGAAGGTGAAGAGAATTGTTGAATTAATCCTCTTAAAATTGCCACTGAAGAGAGGGCTTTGCCTCGGATGGTAAAATACAGTACACGTGTTTTATGAGAAAAATATATGTGTTCAACAATAGTACAGACGTGTGTTTGTAGGAGACGGGCAAGTCTGTATTTATCCAATTTTATAGTACGATTTCAATAACATTATGTACAATTATTTAATGCTGTGATAGTCCAGCCCTTGTTGGCTTATATAAAAGGGTAATAAAAGCAATTAAGGAACAATAGTTGTAGATTAGCCGGTGATTAATGAATATATTGGTGGCTGCAGTGGTACCGTAAGCATCATATGTTTTCATAAGTTATTGTAATGCCTTTTGGAAAAGTGAATAATTTATTTTTGCCAAATAATTGGTACTACAATTTAACGACATGTGTTCGTTGATGAGTCTGAGATTTCAACTCATTTAGGGCTTTGTTTTGATAGTTTATTGTCCTGAAATGCCAAATTTATTCTCCGAACTGATGTTAAAATGTTTATTTGCAGCAACGAAGGCTAAGGAGCAAGGCAAGGAAATTACCGGGAAAAAAGGAGCGAAAAAAGTTGAAGAAGTTGAAGGAAAGCAATCCTGGTGGTCACCGAGTGGATCTTTAGCTCGCATAAAGTTCCAGCATGCCACCCCTGGAGAAGAACCTACTTGGCGAAGGAAATGGACAGTCGGCGGACCGCCGAATGGATCGGCGACCTCGATCCGGATCGCCTAATATCACAGAACCCTGAGGATAAAAAGTCAAGGCAAAAACGTGATGGACAAGAGCAAAGGGTGCATCGCCGACTTGGTAGGCGATGCTCGACTAACTTCGCCTAACTTTCCTGAAGACAAAAATTTGTGAAACTGTAAATTGAAATTTGAAAAAGAGGAAAGAGAGTTCGGAGAGTTTTGACTTTTTCTCTGAGTTTTTGAAGTTTTCCTGAGTTTTCCATCGTAGAACTTAGAGCTTTTGAGACTTGTTTTGAGGAATTTTCATTTGGGTTTTTGAATTAAGTTGATTTGAAGCATTGTAAAGATTTGAGGAATCATTACCCAGTTCATGGCTAACATAATTGATAATTATTTCTTCCTTTTTATGATGTGTGGTAAAAATCCCAATTCTTGGGGTGATCATGTAATTATTGGCTTAATTAGCTTATGGATTTTGTTGTTTACTGAATTAAATGCTTAATGGAAGTGAGTTGAATCGATAACTGTGTATTAATCTATGAATTGTAGTTGCAAATACAATTCTAACTTAGTGTTTTGGGCTTGCTTGAGAGAGAAGTTTTAGAACCAAGGTTTTCGATTGATAATTGTAGTTATTGGGTTGATGTGGGTTCAGCTCGAGAGAATGAATTCTTAACTCAATTCTACCTATCTAGCTCGAGAGAGTAGATAAATTAAGATTTTGGAATGTTTTTAGTGTTAAGCTTGTCCAGGTTTGAGAGAACTTGCTTGAATCGTAATAGTTGTTCGAGAGAAAGCTATTGCATCTATAGTCTAGCCTACTCACTAAGACTTAGAAATTGTTAGTAAATTCCAATTACCCGTATAGCAAAATTAGCCTATAATCGATCACATCCTCGAAAATTCCTCTCTACGTATTGTTTCCCTTGTTTTTGAAGTTGCTTTAGTTGCTAATTGACAAATCAATCTGGATGAGGTGTAGTTGAGCGTTTATCATTCGCTCTTTTTGATTGGCCAAGAGACAATTTTTTAAAATTATTTGACCATTGTTTTTGTTATACAACAATATACTTTCTTATACGAGAATAATGAACATATAAATTGAGAGTTTGTGATTAATAAATAGTGTTGCAATTAAATGTTCTATTTGAGATCATTGAGAAATTTCAAAAGTTTTTTATATATGTGAGATTATATCAATGCATGAATTGAATTTTATGATTAATAAATAGGGTCTATTAATGTGTTCTATTTATTTGATTCATTGACTATTTTTTATGTATTATGTGTAAATTGTTCATGGTAAGTCTAATGTAGTGGTGAAATTTTATCTACTTGAATTATCTTTAGCCATTAGTAATACTTAACTAATTAGAAAAGATATCAAAAAAAATTCACCGGTCTAAAATGGAGAAAAATAATAATAATATCTTGAATTCTCAAGTGTATTAATTGAGAGAACAATTTGTTGAAAGGAGGTTAGTTGTGTATTTTAGTCAAAGGAAAGACACATAGTATGTTTTATGCTCATGAGATAATTTTAAAGGAGAATAAAAGAAATCTAAATCAAGTCATTTTTTAGTCTTTACCTATGCCTAAAATGATTATTTTTCGAATTTGGTCATTTATCTCTGGTTGATTTGAAATTTGATGGTTTCATTTAAAATCATTTAGATGTATTTTAGGTTGTTTATCAAATTAAAACTTGTTTTGAATATGAAGATCATTCTTTATGTCTGTTATGTTTATGTTAAAGTTGGAACATTATTATACATGGTGATTTCATATGAATTGATATGTGATAAGAATATAAGTCATATTGTTATTAGGGAAAAATGATAAATATACCCTCGAACTATCGTAAATGGTATGCAAATACCCTTTGTCATACTTATGGGACATTGGTGCCCTTGCCGTCCAAAAACTAGAGCATATAAACCCTTTATACTAACGGACATACACGTGTCATAATCTTATCCACCAATCCGTTATTTATCGACGGATAAGATTGTGCCATGTGTCCCTATTTAGTCTTCTGGTAGAGTGAAGGGAATATATGCTCTATTTTTTGGACAGTAGGGGCACCAATGTCCCAAAAGTATGACGGAGGGTATCTGCATATCATTTACGATAGTTCGGGGGTATATTTGTCCTTTTTCCCTTGTTATTATTCCTTGATGCTTAAATCACTTGAATTTGAATTTTGTCATAGCATTGGAGATAAATAATTTTTAACTCTGATTGATATGAAATTCGGTAAGTTCATCAGAAACGATCAAACAAAAATACTTACCACTATGTAGTGATTTGACAATTTTAGATCGTTTAGATGATGTTTTGGGTATTATTTATGTCTTGAAAATTAATTTAATGAAAAAAAAATACTCATCTATGATATAGTAGTGATATATATTGTTCTTTATGGTCTTCATGACTAAATCTTCGTGAAGTATTAAGTTCATGTTCTTGCTTTAGACCTTCCTCCATATCGAATTAAATTAATACAAGTCACTAGATTTAATCTCTTATTTTGATAATATATATTGACCCTTTCTATATAAGAAATATATGATTTAATCAATGGATCTAGGGATAATGATATTCACTTGATTTAATTTAGCATATATTCTTCATCTTAGTTAGCTTTTGTTCTGAATTTATTAGAGTGAATATCTAACACCATATATGTATGTTGTATTAATAGCTACTTTTTCATCAAAATTTATCTTTCAAGATGCATGGATATCTATGAGGTGTGTTTTGATTTTTTGTATTCAATGTATACATAAACATGCTGATTTTTGGAAAATAGTACTTAGATAATGTAAATACTTTTTAGAATTTTGTTCTTTATTTTTTATTCGTGTATCTATTTTACTAATGATGACATGTGATGGGAATTATTGAACGATTTTTTTAAATTTTTTTGGACAAATAACGTTTTCAACCAAATTGATCATTGTTTTGAAATATGAAAATAGGGACTCTGATTGATCTGAAATTCCGTAGATTCATAATGACGATCAAGTAAGAAATATATATTTTTTGAATCGTTATTTGAGTTTCGGGTCATATATAGGAGTCCCTACCATGATTACCAAGATTAAAAAGTAGTGACATATTAGCTTCAAGTGCTAGTTTAGACCTATCCGATGGAATTTATACAAGTCACTATGTAGTTAATCGCTAGTTTTGATATTTTGTGTTAACTCTCTTCAACAAAGTAAAATATGATTGGATCAATATAACTAGGGTGATTTTCACTTGACTTAAACTAACAGTAGACTCTCCATCTATGTTAGGTCTGTATGAGTTTAGTGAGTGGATAATCAGTTATTGTACATGTGTATTGCATGTGTCTTTCTTCAATCCCATCGATTGACTATTCGAGATGCATGAATATATATGTAACATCCGGCGATTTGAAATAACTATGAAGAGGCTTAGAATTGGAAATAGTCATATTTTTTGGAAAGATTTAAAAATCTGGAAATTTGGCTAAGTATGGAAAAGGTGAGTTTTTGGCCAACTTTGAGCAGCCATAACTTCTAACTCAGGATGATTTAGGTGTAGTTTCAGTTGTGGTTGCAAAGCTCGTGGAATGACCTTTCTAACGCCGCTGAGTTTGCTCGATTCCGAGTTCGTATGAGTGAGTTATGCCATTTGGAAGTTGGGCAATTGGCAAGGAAATCCGTCCGTTAATTTTAAGGGTATTTTGGTCTTTTCTCTAGCCATTTCTTTTGGGTTATATTGTTGTGTTAGACTGATTTTTAGATCAGTTGGTTCCATTTTAAAGAGTGAGCGTGAGGGTTTGAGAGTGAAGAGGAGAAGGAGAAGATCAAGCAAGATCAACCAAGGTTCCGTCAAAGATCGTCATGGATATCGTCGGGGTTGATCCCTACTAGGTATGTGAGTTCATAGTGTTGGGTTGGTTCTTTCCCCCACACGCCAAGCTTGTCTTATTTTCAAGAAAAGATTGTTTGTGTTGTTGAAGTTGTTGGTTGTGTTGTTGATGTTGTTGATTGTGTTGTTGGAAGTTCCTTGTTGATTTGGGGCATGATTTGATTGTTTCTGAGTTGAATCTCTTGTATGTTGAGGGATTTTATGATCCTTAGTGGTTGGGATTGAAACCTTTGAAGTTAGGGTGGTTTAGAGTTGGAAAAAGAGGGAGGAAAAGTCGGATTTTCTAGGGAAGGGGCTGGCGCGTCGCGCCTGCCAGCGCCCCCCAAAAGGGACTCTGAAGTACAGCCTTTGGGGCGGCGCGCCTAGCAGAGCGCCAGCAGGCCCCCTCTGAATTTCGAGGGCTGGCGCTCCGCGCCTTGCAGAGCGCCAAGGACGTCAAGACTTCTCTTTTATCCCCCACTTTCTCATGCATGTTCCTTGGTATTGTACCTATGTTTCC